GATGAAGGATGGGAGAACATGTATCAGCGCCTTGTAGAGTACAAACAGAAACATGGAACTACTTCTGTTCCTTTCACCTACAAAGAAGATCCAAAACTTGGCCGTTGGGTAATGAGTCAGCGTATGCGTTGCAAAAGGAAGGATCGTATTGATCTTTTGAATCAAATTGGATTTGTCTGGAAGGTAAAGGATGCCAACAATTGGGATGATGAAGGATGGGAGAACATGTATCAGGGCCTTGTAGAGTACAAACAGAAACATGGAACTACTCAGGTTCCTCCCAACTACAAAGCAGATCCAAAACTTGGAAATTGGGTTCAAAGACAGCGCATATGTTGCAAAAGGAAGGATCGTGTTGACCTTTTGAATCAAATTGGATTTGTCTGGGAGGTGATGTGTGCCAACAATTGGGATGAGGGAGCATGGGATAGAATGTATCAATGCCTTGTAGAGTACAAACAGAAACATGGAACTACTCAGGTTCCTCGCAAATACAAAGCAGATCCAAAACTTGGTGAGTGGGTAAGGACGCAGCGAAAGTTTTGCAAAAGGAAGGACCGCGTTGACCGTTTGAATCAAATCGGATTTGTTTGGAAAGGAGGATACATCAAAGTGTATGATGATGAAACACACAAATCTTGCAGAAGTGAGGACTATACAAATTGTTTGAATCAATCTGAATTTGTCTGGAAGGTTCAGTGTGCCAATGAGTGCAATGATAAATGATGAGAACCATGCATCAGCTCCCTGGAGATCACATAAAGAAAAATGCTATTCTTCAGGTTCCTCACAAATGCAAAGCAGATCCAAAAGCAAAAGACCACTAGACTTTCCTCTTGGGTCTTACGCTAATGCTGGTGGCAGCCTTGCTGCTTAAGTGGACAGTTGTTTTGGCTGGAAGAAAAACCTTCTTGCAGAGAAACCACGGCTGCTGCGATGATGGCAGCCATCCAAATCTTTTATTTTTCCAAACTGCAAGTTTCGAATGCCTAACGGCTCTAGTAACAATGCAAGGCGTGTGGCTATTGTTGCGTAGACAATAAAATGTGGAGCGAATACAATCCCTATGTTTACCTACTCACAAACCTAGTTTCTTTTAGCTCGCAATTATCCAAGCATGCTGTGCTTGCTGTGCTGTACTCGTTGTGTTGCAATCGTATGCAAAGTGTTCGTTTGCTCCGCTCTCGTCTTGGAAGTGAGGGATCTGTGGCGTTTGCTTTGTTCTTGTTTTGGTCGTGAGGGTCCTGTACTTGCAACGGACCACAAGCCTGGGGTGGTCCGACAAATTGCTTGATGTGCTCTGATCCCATGTATGACGCAACTCGACTTGCACCCCTTCGTACCATGCCAGGTGCCAGGCCACCCGGCCTCGTTTGACTACGAATTCATCTAGTGTTGCCATCGCCGGAGGCATCAACGAAAACGGACCACAACGAAAATCATGGTGAAGTTGAAAGTCCCGTCTTTTGGAACGACAAAAGTAAGAAAGAGTGTTCTGTTGGTGATCGTAAGAAAAAAATAGCCTGCACTATCATCAATATGGTATGATTGCTGAATGCCAATCAGCAGAAAGACTTTGATTGAAGAAGTGTGTTTGGTCTGTCAAATATAATTGTTATATTATTAGGAAAGAAAGACGCATCTTGTGTCCCCTGCGTCTCTCGCCCATTAACACATAATATACATAAAGTTCAGTAAAGCTAGTCCCAATGCGTTGTAACATGAATAAAACAATAGTCACGGTGCCAAACCGTACTAAATCCCAAACATTGACTGATTGTATCATATCCGTCACTCTTTTTTCCCGCTGCCTTCGGTTGTAGCGGCAGCAATCTTGTTTTTGAGGGCCTTTTTCTCTGGCAACTTCAAACCCCGTTTTCTCGCCGTTTGTACATAAGACTTGTAGTAGCAACGTATCCGATCTCGAATGGCGACAAAGTTGAAATCGTCTGGATCGAACATGTAATTGTGCTGACCGGCGACCTCTAAGAGTCGTTCCGTTAACCAGTTGTTGTATTGCTTTTGTTCGGCTGTGTAGTTCATGTTCGAATGCTTCAAGTACTCGTCGCGATTGGCGATGAGAAAGCGTTCGAGCTGAATGACAAAAGGCAACAAGCAAAGGAAAAACGATTCGGTGAGATTTTTGTGTCCAACACGAAGCATACTTTCAAGGCGAAACAAGAACGTATTCCTTACCTCCGGATAGTGTTTCCAGGAAAATTTCTTCCTCAGTATCGTTTTCTCCTCCATCCTGGGCGGATGCCCATAGTGGTAGGGTGGGGGTGGTCCGCCCATCATGTGAGGAGGAGGGATCGGCATGCCCGGATGGTGCGGCCCCGGCATCGGCAGAGGGGGTCCGCCTCTGTGGTGATACGAGGGATGAAGCGGTGGTGCAGTGCCGCCATAAAAAGGCAGATCGTGATCCTCGGGTCCGCCATAGTGGGGTGGTGGGGGCGGATACGAATACTCCGGCGGGGGAGGGCCGTGGTGCGGAGGCGGTGCATAGTATGGATCGGAATGCGTGTGTGGGGGTGGAGGGTGCGGTGGATTCCATCCACCGGCTCCGCGACCGGGGGGTGGATAGCTTGGGGAATACGGAGATTGTCCGGGATTCTCCCAGTGCGGTCCTGCTCCGGCACCACTGCCGTATCCGGGCGGAGGAGGCGGGTGGTCGTCGTAAAAGTATGCTCCTCTTGAGGAATTTGGTGTCGACGGTGGTGGATACATGGATGCCCCTCGATACGTGGAAGCATCGCCGTGGCTGTCGAAACTACCGCGTTCCACCAGTGCTGGCGAATCGGCGGGATAGGCGGGCTGCCCGAATTCTCCGGGGCCACCGTAGTGCATTGCGGGTCTGCCGTTCCGGCGCGGCGCAGAGGGACGATAGGGCCCAGCCTGCTGCGAGGCGTTCGAGTACTGTTCGTGAGCGGGGTGGGCAGGAAACATCTCTCCGCTTCCGCTGCTCCCGCTGCCCCCGTGCGGGAGTGGCGGTGGCTCCCACCCCATCTGCAACGGTGGCTGCGGGCCACTGGTTTCCGCGGTCGACGCGGTATCGTGCGATCGACTCGGAGTAATCGGCTGGTGTTTTCGCGTCGTCGCGGGGGTGCGCTTGCTGTCCACAACGGCACGGACTTGGGGGGTCTGGCTCGGGGTGATCGGGCTCGGCTTGAACCTGCGGTGCAGCGGCGACGTCGGCGCTGGCATGGGCACCGACGGACGACTGGCGGCAGCACTCGGGCTGCTCGTGGCAGAAGCAGCCGTCTCGGCATCGGAGCCTTCCCTGGAATTCGTAGCGCCTCCCGTGGTTTCGCCTGTTGGTTCCGGTGCGTTTCGATTGGACTGCTTGTTCTTGCTCTTGTTTTTGTTCTTGTTCTTCCCTCCCATTCCCGCCGATACATCTGCCAAGACACGCAGCGGATCCCCCTTTTTGTCTGTGCCCTGCTTCGAACCAGAGTCGCCGTCACCCATTTCCGCGTCCTCCGCGTCGCTGGCATCGTTACGACCTCCTTTGTTCGGAGTCACGGTGTTTGCAGCTGCGGAAGACGATCCCAGCGTCGTTGCTTCTTCCGAATCTGCCGAAGCGGAAACAGATACTTGCACTCCCCGATTGCCCGGGGCCTGACGTCCTGTTGCTCCTGGAGGTGAGGGCGGACTGAAGTCCTTTCGTTGATGGTGGTGAACGAGACTGTGGTGCTCCCCGGAAGACGATGGTGAGATCGTGGGCTCCGACAGCCCGACTTGATCGCCCGGGTAGGGGCGTCTGGGCGGTGTTCTGTGTGGGTGTTGGTTTGGATGGGGCGTGTGTCCGTTCGGAGCTCCTCGCAGGGATTCGTGGGAAGGTCCACCCCTGTAGCCGTCGTGCAGGGACGGTGGAGGAGGTCCCCAAAAGTGCGCTCCCCCGCCACGGTGGTTGCTGGGTGGCGGTGGATTGTGCGCATGTGGATGCGGATGCGGATGCGGGTGCTCGCTGTTGTAGGGAGGAGGCGAGGCGTACCAGTAATCACCGGGCGGTGGACCCGGAGGTCCGCGCGATGGCATCGGCGGTCCCTGTGGATCGTAGTGGTAGGGTGCAGACGCGGATCCAGGGGCGGGGGGCCGTGGTCCGCGGTTCATGCTGCTTGCGCTGCCGTACGGGTTGGGGGACATGACGTCGTAGTCGCCGGGATACGAAAGTCCCCGGTGACCGTGATGAGAATGAGAATCTCTCCAGCCCGCCTCTCGCCGACGCGTCGGGGTGGAAGCAATTGGTGGGGGCATGGAATCGTTTGTGTTTGGATTGGAGTCAATCCTTTTTGGTTCGGTTCGGTTCGGTTTGCAGATCAAATGCACCAAGTTGTCGCCTTTTGCTCCCAATCGATCTCTTTCGCGAAGGAGATTCTGCCGTTTGCGCTATGTGAACTACGTGCCGCAATACTTCTTGCTGGCCTTGGCAGCTGACACTGTGTTTGCAATGTTCTGTTCTGTTCTGATCTGATCTATTGTCGATGTACCTGCACGAGCACGACTATTGTTTGTTAGTAGTGCCGTCCTTCTATTTCTATTTGTTTACAGGACTTCTAGATGCGAGAACCTGAATACGAACACGGGTGCATCTTCGAGCGCGGTAGTATGCAAGGACCTGGTAGGAACCACCCAAAGTGAAGACTGACTCCTTCAGGTTGGATTCTTGATGATGCCCGTCACACACATGCACACACGGGCAGGACACCAAAAACGACCCAAACTTTTGTCACAAAATACCTCCCGTTCAAAATGCTGTTCCCACACAGTAGATACCCTACCGTGATGTACGATCTGGTACGATCCCGTATTGGAAATCCTTTCCGACACGGACCCGCTCATCTAATCGTGTAGAAAGCCTAAGTAGATCGATCCGGGTCTCGTTCTTAAAAATTTATCTTTCCAACCAGCACACGCGTTTCCGTCTATTCAGTGCGGGTTCCTCACTCCAATCGTGTAAGCATTCCTCTCCAAATCGTGCAGAAAGGCAATGAAACCGGGATTTGTTGGCCACCTCGATACCATAAGCCCAGCCTGCCCTTTCAAAAATTGGACCTTCAAATATTTCATCGGAAAGAACGGTCCCACCTTTACGCTCCTTGGATCCAAGGAGAAAAAACCTTCCTCAACTCCGCGCATCGCAGGCATCACACGGTACTCTTACGTACGTACAAGGTAATGTATCCTACTACCGTACGGTACGATTTTCTGTTTTCTAGACTTAACGTACAGTACAGAAAACGAGTTTTACTTGGAAATAGTGCTTGACAGGTCCAAAACTCGTAGGAACTCTACAGGGCTCTACAAGCCTAGTAGTACTAGTAGTAGCACTGTTTTAAACAAAAATAAGAAGCTATCACTTAGTTCCATGTAGAACCAAAAAGGAACCAACAAGCTCAAAAACAATTGCATTGAGTACATATTTTTCAAACTGCTCTGCATCCATTCCTGCAGTTTCATTGCAATTCACTGTTGCCCCTTCAGTTGCCACACATTTTTGTCCTCCATATACACCTTTCCTGTTCTGAACTTCATGAACAAACATCTCCTGAATCCACTTGTTTTCTTCTTCTGTTGCAGTTGACTTCAGTTGGAAATTGGAAGGGAGTGGATAACCAGTTGTGTTGCTACCACGTCACACAAACCGGATCTATGGTATTGCGCGTTTCACGCGGTTGACACCATCGAAGTTTCAGGGTCAACCCTTAGTCTTTCGTGATTGGATAATAGTTTAGAGAATTCCTGCACAACTTCATTTATCCAGAACATGTTTCCGAAAACAAGCATAATTTTACTTCCTTAGCATGAAAAAACTCATCCTYTGCTTGGAACTTAGCTTTGTTCTTTATCATGCCCCCCCCTAAGCTAAAGGTATTCTGTCAAAACTGTTACGGCTCAAGAGATCGGAAGAACCAACGTCC